AAGGAACGATTGGCCATCGGTGATCGGTCCTGTGGGAACAATGCTCCGTCCTCTCGAGGACGCGTGGTCAATGGTCTAACCGCTAAGACATGCAAAACAGAAGAGTACGCCCCCCCCCCCCCTCCCGCTGTCCCGGCTTTGTATCGATGCGAGGTCAATGGTCTAAAGACTACTACGGCATGCACGACGATGAGTACACATACCCCCCCCCGCGCCTATCGCTCGCCCTGGTTGGTCAATATCTCCGCTTCGTTCACTCCCCCAATCGCTACTTACTCCATGACACGCTCGTCTTCCGCAGAACAAGAAGGAGGGGCCGCGTCCGGTCTGAAGCTGGTTCTGCTTCCTCCTCCGAAGGCGACCACGACAACAGGAGTGAGGCCAGCTTGCTCGGGGAGAGCGCTAGGAGCAGAGAGCGGTACCGCGAGGAGCACAGGGAGGCGATGGAGTCGGTCTCGAGCGACGCGCTGCGGATGCGCGCAATCAAGGACGACCTCTCCGAGGTGCTGCGGCGGCTGAGGGAAGGGGACGCTCAATCGGCGGCGGCGGCAGCGGCGGCGGCGGCAGCGGGACAACCGCCACGGGCGAGTGTGGCCCAACGGGAGGATGAGGGCAAGGAAGAGCTGGATGCGGCGTTTCACAGCATCTCTACTCGCCGCCGGCCAAGGGAACGCCAGCAGAAGAAGCCGGAGGAGAGACCGGATCTGACCGCCGCCGCCGCCGCCGCCGATCGGGGGCCCCGCGCTTCGTCTCGGCACCAGGTACCCGGTAGATCGTCGGGGGCGTCGGCAGCGGCGGCTGGAACGACGGACGCCGCCTCCATGTCCCTGCAGGTTTCGGCCCTTGCCGACCTTGAGGCTCGCATCGCTTCCCTGGGCGGGCTGTTGAACTCTTTCTCTTCGGAGGAGGACGGGGACGGTTCGCGGCAGCAGCAGCAGCAGCAGCAGCAGCAGCAGCAGCGGCAGCGGCGGCGTGAGCACCGACAGGACGGTGTGTTTTCGTCTCCCGGTGGTATGGAGGAGGAGGAGGAGGCGGGAGGGTTGCTCCGGCCGTCGCCGCCGCGGGGGCGGGAGCAGGAGCGGGAGCGGGAGCGGCCACGATCGACGAGCCCGGTGCCGTTGACGCTGATGCGTGTTCGATCCCCGTGCCCGTCGTCGTCATCGTCGTCTCCACGGTATAGCGTTGGCGGCAGTCGGGAAGACGACGGCAGCATCAGCGGCGGCGGCGGCGGTTTTTCGACCTCCCGGCCGTCGTCTCTTCTCGTGAGCTCTTCATCGGGAGGAGGTGCCGGGGCCACTGCTGCTGGTGGTGCTGCCGGCCGTAGCAGGAACATCGCGGACGAGACCGCCGGAATGTCTAGCGCTGCCAACGACCTCGCCAGGGAGATCGACGAGCTCCTGCGGGCAAGCGGTAGCGGGGCGCGTGGAGACAGCAGCGGTGCTAGCGGCATGGTAACGGGCGACGTCTCCGGCCGTTGGAGAACCCGCGGCAGCGGCTGCCGGTTGGGCACCGCTATGGCGGAAGGCGAAGGGTTGGAGGAAATGGCAGAAGTCAGCTCTGTGGGGTGGGGAGACCTGGAGGGGATGGCGGATAGGCTTGGGGCACTTGCTGCTGGCCGGAACAGCAGGGGGTCTACTGGTACTACCTGTTAATAGTATTTTTCCGTGAGTATGTTTTCGAGGCCATGTGGTTGAAGGCACCGACGGTTTTCAAGAGTCAGCCCTGGGTGCTGAGGGGAGGAGGGTGGGTGGGAGGGAGAGGTCTAACACTCAAGCCTTAATCTGTCTGTATTGAAGCCGCCACCACACCACTTTGGGTACTAAAGTTAGGAGTATTTGATACCTTGTTCGTTTGTTTTTCTACCCGTCTACTCGGGGAGTACCTAGGTTTACAATCACCTCCTCGGCACGTTTAGGGCGTACTAGCCGCCGAGCTTGAACGGAACATTTCCTCTGCGAGCCTATCCTTCATTCCGATACTAAGTATTTTACGTGACCCCATTGGACCTAGACTATATGTGTAGTACGGGCAGACAACAGTGTTGGGGGTTGTGTTGTAGGGGGTCAAAGCAAAGAGGGTAAGGTGTAGACTGTAGCCTTGAGCGATGTTCGGTCATTGTAGCATGCGTCTTGGCAAGCGTGCTTTGTTGTTAAACCAACCTCATCGTACGTGACCCTTACGAGGTTACAAGATAAGACCCGTGACTTATGTAGCACGTCCAGTTTCCCCACAAGGAGATGGAGAATCGAGAACAACAGAGTCCGTAAATGTTTTGTGATTTCAACCGGTTTGATGTCGTATTTAGTAAGCCCCCATCATTCGGTCCAGCCATGAGTGCCACTTTGAGAGATCAAGAACGATATGTGGGTCCCGGAGCTTTTTTTCAGTAGCCAAATGTTATGAAGAGGGGCCTAACCCCATTTATTTGATGGCGAACCCCCCAGATTGACCCGTCAGTGTTATGTTGTTGAGTAAAAAAGTGGAATTAAGTCCCCCCGACCCTGCTTTGTGTGCGCCGGGGTCTTTTTCACGGCTTACAAGTCATGAGACAGCAATCTCGTGTCTGTCTGCCTGACACTGGTCTAGGTGCCAAGCATTGGCGATGCGGTTGCCGCAGCAGCAGCAGCACAAAACTGAGGGTTCAATATTTATTCGGGGAGGGTTAACGTGAGAGCAAATATTTCGCGAGAAAGCCTTTTTGTCCCCGTGAGTCTTTATTTTTTCATCGACCGCGCTACTTTACCTTGAAGCCTGCTTGTGTTTCAATGTTTTCGTTGCGGGAGGTGGCCCGGGGGCTACTCATACCTATGGTGTTGGGCATCGGCATTTCAATGTGTGTGTGGAACAGGAGCTAGCTCATCACGTGGCCAATGTAGTTTTTCTTGTGTGCGACCAAAGGGAGGCGTTCGCCTTTTATGGAGGACGGCATGCGCCGTTTTGTGACGAACATCGCGTCAGCGGCGTTGTTTTCGGGAATGTTGTTGTTGTTGTCTTCACATGAAAAGCCGTTCCGAACTCTCTCTACCCAGTACCTTCGTATGTCCGTACTGATCCAACACTCGACGCGGTTGATTCCTGTGGTCGCAGGCTAACTTACCTTAAAAAGGTACACTCAAATAAAATGGCCCCGAGGGGTCCGCAAGTCAATTAGAATCAACGCCAGATATTCTGGAGTCCTCCACACCCTCTGCGCGCTATGCGAGGTAACAACTGAGACTAGTGGTCACCATCACGAACCGAAGAGAATGAGGTACACCCCCTTGGTTCAATCTTGGTACTTCACAACGCAGCGTTGTATGCTGTCTGGGAAACCGTAGACATGCAGGTAGCCTTTCGCTCACGCTATGGACACATTCATTGCTAATCTATCTTGGACTTACTTCTATAGAGATGGATATGCGTATGTATGTTGTGTGATATTGAGAAATAATAAAAAAGAGAAAAAGAGAAAATAAATAAAAGGAACCACATCAGGGTGCCATAATAGAACACCCGACAAACCGGGGAGCGCCTATCTACAATCCATGGATTGTCAGAGAGAACCACAGTCCAAACATCCATCCCGATGGAAACCCCGGGAAACCAGCCAGGGCGTCCCCGAAGTGGTTCTCCTCCTCCTCCTCCTCCTCCTACAAAGGAAGCAACAGCTAGCTGTTCATCACGCGGCGAAGAGCCGTCTGAAGGTGGCAGCAGCGGCCCGTACGACCCACCCGCCGCTGGGGATACCTAGGAGGCGCTTGGCCGCAGAGAAGAAGGACACGATGATGTAAGGGATGAGGAATATTATCCTGCATGGCTGTGGTGCACACAGGACAAACCGAGTTAAATTTACCTCTTTTTTTTTTGTGGCGGTAACCATAATGAGTGGTGGTCGAGTAGAGCACGTTGTGCGGGGTGGAGAACCCTCGCTCCGCGCAAGGGGAATGATCGCACCTCGTTGTGTTAAAATGGTCAAGCACCCTCGAGGCAGTTACACAGTGCTTACAACTGTCTCAGGAAGTGAAAGCGCCAAAAATAAATTCAGTCATACGCCGCTGTCATCCGTACGCAAGGAAGTAAGCACAAGATACCGAACACCCTTGGCAGGATGCAGCGCACCCTTCATGCGACTCGCCGAATACCTCACGGCGCTTCGCGCTTGGTGATGTGAGAGCCTAGTCCGGTGAGAACCTGGCGTGCTCCGTCCCGGCTGTGNCCCCCCCCCCCCTCAGCGCTCAAAACGCAGTATTCATAGTGTACCCAACCCACAACCCTGTAATTTTCCAGGAAAGCAACATCCTTGGTCATAGCCCCCCTTCATGGCATCGCCCGCCCCAAGTAATTACTCCACCGACGTACCAAACAAATTGGCGTAATCCCGGCGCACCGTTTTCTCTGCCCTCTGTAACCTCACCCCTTCTTGTGCCCCCCCCCCCCCCCCCCCCCCCCCCCCCCCCCCCCCCCCC